CACCATGCTTGACTGTACCATGCTTGTCTTTGCACATGCTTGTCTTTGTACTCCTCACCCTGGTTGCCGCCACACATGGTTGACACCATCTGAACCAAATAAGTTTATCTTGGTCTCATCAGACCACAGGATATGGTTCCAGCAATCCATGTCCTTAATCTGCTTGTCTTCAGCAAACTGTTTGCAGGCTCTCTTGTGCATCATCTTTAGAAGAGGCTTCCTTCTGGGACGATAGCCATGCAGACCAACTTGATGCAGTGTGCGGAGTATGGTCTGAGAACTGACAGGCTGACCCCCCACCCCTTCAACCTCTGCAACAATGCTGGCAGCACTCATATGTTGATTTCCCAAAGACAACCTCTGGATAGGACGCTGAGCACGTGCACTCAACAACTTTTTGGTCAACCATGGCAAGGCCTGTTCTGAGTGGAACCTGTCCTGTTAAACCGCTGTATGGTCTTGGCCACCATGCTGCAGCTGTTTCACGGTCTTGGCAATCTTCTTATAGCCTAGAACATCTTTATGTAGAGCAACAATTCTTTTTTTCAGATCCTCAGAGTTCTTTGCCTCGAGGTGCCATGTTGAACTTCCAGTGACCAGTATGAGAGAGTGAGAACACCAAATTTAATACACCTGCTCCCCATTTACACCTGAGACCTTGTAACACTAAAAAGTCACATGACACCGGGGAGGGAAAATGGCTAATTGGGCCCAATTTGGACATTTTCACTTAGGGGTGTACTCACTCAGCAAATTTACACTGTACAAGCTGTACACTCACTACTTTACATTGCATCAAAGCATCATTTTTTTCAGTGCTGTCACATGAAAAGATAAAAAAAAAAAAAATTACAAAAATGTGAGGGGTCTACTCACTTTTGGGAGATCCTGTATGTGCATTTTATTTTTTGAAAAGGTGAACGTATCCTTTAAGCCCCACAAAGTGCTAGACTGAAAACTCCTATGTCCTGAGCTCAAGAAAAGGGTCACATGAAGACTAGCAGAACATACAGACCTTACCAGCTTACAATAGAAATATACCATTTTAAGCTACTTAAAATGCATATATAGAACATATGCCCGATTGTATTTTGGGTAGTTTTAACTGCCAAGGATTTTAAATATAGGTACATTTCTGTTTAAACAAACTTCTTTCAGCTGGAATCATACGTGTAGTCGAACAGCTGCGGCTGTTAAGCCTGTACAAAGAAAAATGACAGGCTGAAAGAGGCCAACACTGTTTGCATGTACACCCAGCAGTTACCTGCATCTGTCCACATCCCAGTGTAAATGGTAATGTAAAAAGTGTGACTTTGTGTATACCTCCAAAAAAAGTGTAATGCAGACAAACAATAGAGATATAAAAAAAAAAATTAACACTATTTAGTATAACAAACATGTCAGTTAAAAAGACTTAAAACCATGTATGCATGTTAGCCATCCAAAGTAGCTGTTCATATGGCCTTGAGATCAACTTGTGAAGATCAAACTGCCCCTGGCATCACAGAATAGAGAAAATGTGATTTCATTCCATATCTTGCAGTACAAAAACAGAACTAAGGCAACTCATTCACACACCATGGATTATAGTCTCATAGCTTCAGTGATTGGACACGTTTGAGGACAAACACCCCCCATAACTCTACCCCATTCAGAGTCCTCCGTTTTGCAGCAAACAATGCAGAGTAACAAGGAGAATTTTGGGAGATGGCACGTGTTCTGTAAGAGCAAAAGATCCACTCCAGGTGAGTGCGGAATCTGCATAACCCCTCCGCAGACATGCAGGTGCTGGCCCGATCCGTGATCACAGATACAAAGGAAAAACCAGAATGGTTGGCAGCACAAAGAACAATGTAGTGGATGAAATCCTTTAAATGCAATATAAGAAAATGACAGCTCCAAGACAGGACAGAGGAGCAGTAGACGCGTTTCACATGAACATGTGCTTAGTCATTACAGTACATATCAAAAGATTCTGAGAATCTTGAGATCTCTGTGCGCAAGGGACAATGCCAAAATGCAATATTGGATGCCTATGATCTTTGGGCCATCAGACAGCATTACATTAAAAACAGGCATGATTCCGTGATGGACATCACTGCATGGGCTCAGGAATATTTCCAAAAACCACTGTCTGAACATGCCATCCAAAAATGCAAAGTAAAACGTTCCCATCTTCTCTGGGTCAGAGCACATTTAAAAGTGTTTCAAAGTGGAAAACGGTTCTGTGGTTAGCCAAATCAAAAAGTTTGACATTTGTGCAACCATGGACGCTACATCCTCTGGTCTAAAGAAGAGGACCTTCCGGATAGTTAGCATTGCCAAGTTTAAAAGCCTGTGTCTCTGATGGTATGGGGTTGCATTAGTGCAAATGGAATGGGCAGCTTGCATATCTTGAAAGCCACTATCAATGTTGAAAGATTTATCCAGGTTTTAGAGCAACATATGCTCCCATCCAGACAATGTCTTTTTTTCACAGAAGGCCTTGTATATGTCAGCAGGACAATGCTAAATATGCACCTATGACAAGATCATGGCATCATAGTAGAGTCCAGGTGCTTAACTGGCCTTCCTTCAGTCCAGACCTTTCCACTGAAAACATTTGGCACGTTTTGAAAAGAAAAATACAACAAAGAAGATCCAGGACTGTTGAACTGTCAGAATCGTATCAGGCAAGAATGGGATAACATTCCTCTCCCAAACTCTAGTAACTTGTCTTATTTTCAAGATGTGTACAAAGCTTTGCTAAAAGAAGAGGGGATGTTACACCATAGTAAACTTGGCCCTGTCCCAAGTATTTTGAGACAAGTTACTGTCATTCATTTAAAAAAATTGCCTTCATTTTTTCTTAAAAATGGTACATTTTCTCAGTTTAAACATTTGATATATTTTCTATTGTGAATAAAATAAGGGTTTATGAGATTTGTAAGTCATTGCATTCTGGTTTTATGTATATTTTATGAAGCGTCCCTACTCTAAGAATTGGGGTTGTAAGAACCTTCCAAACGTAGGGAAGGAAGGATTTTCCCCACTGTTCTTGTTGAAGTGGAGATCTACTAGGGCAAGAAATTTTGGTGGAAATAAACATGAAATATCCAGGGAAGGAGCCTGTTTTTTTCTGCTGACAGGCTAGTTAACTGAAGAGTTCTTGAATGAAATTGGGCAAAAAAGTACTGCCTCAAACAGGGCTACAATTAGACCCAGAATACTTATAGCAATTCTCACCGGATCTCAGCAGTTGAGCATAAGCTCAAAAACATGCAAGGGTCCACAGTCGATTGAAAGTATGTGCCTCTAATGCATGGTGTAGAAATAAGTTGCCTGTTCTTTGTACTGTACGCAAGTAAATTGAATGCACCTAAATCACAAGTAAAAACACACACAGTGAATTATACCATTTAAAGTCAATACATGCATTTAGACACATGTGTCTATTCGACAGGGTGAATTAAGCCATAGAACATGGAACAAAATATAGTGTGCAGGAAAAAGGACTTCTACATTTTCCTGGAATCCACCTATTCTTACAAAATAAAAATTGAAAAACATAGCAGGAGCACAAGAACTTACTTGTTGCGATCTGTTCATAGCCAAACAAGAACAAGAGACCACCAGTTGGAAAATAAAGATGAGTATTAACACCACCATGTACTATATTACAGTTAAGGATACATAAAGCTATTGCCAGGATTAAAAAAAAAAAAAAAAAAAACACAACAGGCAATAAAAACCTGTTCAATGGTATATAAAGCAGATTAGTGTGTTCTCCTGCCTGCTGGCGCTGCTGGAGGGAATCCGGCTTCCTTTATCATATTTTTTTGGGAATGTAGGTTATCACTCCCTTCTGGGAAGAGGTTCTGTCCTTGCTACGATTGTTACTGCGCACCTCCCTCCCTTTTGAGCCCCTTTATTTTCTATTGGACTTGCCCTTCCCGGGTCTCCCCAAACCGTTAAGGGAACACTCCCTGCACATTCTGACAGCAGCCAGGAGAAGCATTCCAATGAGCTGGCTCTCCCCCACACCCACTTCAATGCCAACAATATTTAAGTTCATTGCAGACATCAGAAAAAATGGAATATCTAACCGCTTTACATGCCGACTCTATAATCGTATTTGAAGCAGCATGGAACCCATGGGACATTTATATCTCTGCTCAACCTACTCAAAATGTATGGCTTGATTATCCTTTCACTGTTGCTTTATTGACATGGTATGTTTTTTTTTTTTTCTGTTATGATCGATGAACCTCTTTTTTTCTCCTTTCCTTAAATTTCATGTATGTACACACGTATGTACGTATATGTGAAAACTTAATAAAAATGTTAAATTACAAAAAAAAAAAAAAAAAAAAAAAAAGCAGAATAGTGTGTCATTAGTAATACACATGAAAATGTACCAATTAGGACTTACCTTACTGCTGTTGTTCTTATGTCATAAAACACTTGCAGCTGCAGACAAAAAGGCGAACAGACATGTATTCCTGGCCATTTTCTTTGTGCAAAGGAAACATTGGAGCAAAGACATTTTATTCAATTTCTAGTCAAAACCAAATATTTTGTTTTGGATAAAGTGAGGGAGGATTAAAACCTCTAGCAACGTTTTTTTGCTGTCTCTGACCTATTTAGGGAGACTCCCCTCACTTCCTGTCAGAGGAGGACGTGATGGGTAACCTCTTATCACAAAGTTCTCATTGTCCATGACTTCCAGTAATTCACATACGCTGCATAGTCAAACAGATGAGAAGAGTGTTCATGTGAAGCTTACAGGGTCATGTGTCCCCTTCACTTAGCCAGCAATGTAATAAGCTGCATTACTGTCATAATGAGCTGTATAGCGAGGCAAAAGCATATGAAATCACGATACCAACTGAACAGTCTGTTTGCCACATGAGTTCACTTTAAACTTTCACAAGAACACTTAAAAAAAAAAAAAAAGGAGAAGAGAGAGAACTCCCTAAACAACACTTAAGGATACAATGAAGAGCATCACTTGATGGTGACTAACTGCTCCAACTAAGCCAACAATAGCAATAAGGAGTAAGAAAACACCAACTGCGATGACGCCCCCAATAATTTCGATGCTGGAGACTATTCCAAAGCCTTTTCCCCATGCTGCCACGCCAATCAGTAGCAGGCCAACCAGCTGAAAGGATAAAGAAAAAAAATTAATCTTTCAGAAAGAGACACAAAGTAGATTATTGGTTCGATTCAACTGGTGCTTTAGGCAAAATGCTGCATTTGGTAAACACCAGTCAGATTACTTTTGTTTCGCCTGCAGCCTAAAAAGCACAAATAGAAGAATTTCCCATTGTGGCTATTGTAGATGTGGTGATATGTACAATTAACTAGTACAATGCAAAGCTCACACACATACATGCGATTTACCAGCTTTCCTTTTTCATGTGTTTCATTGCTGAAAGATGGTGTTGCCAATTTAGGGAAGTGAAACTTTAATCACAGAACGTCTGAATGCCTTTTGCGATGTATTAGTAAATTGTACATATCACCACATCTACAAACAGCCACAATGGGAAGATTCTTCTATTTGCGCTTTATAGGCTGTAGGCTGAACAAAAGTATGCCTGTATACTTAATTTAAAGCAATATTAAAACAGGTGAAAAGGGAAAAAAATATTTACAAAAAAAAGGTAAAATTTCTTATATTTGCAATATGCAAATTTGTTTGTGTGTTTATTACTGCAAGTGCAATGCACATATACAGAGCACCCCGGAAGAAGGCCCACTGCCCTGACTCAGTATGTACTGTATGTATTACACCAGCATCAGCGTGTTAATGAGGTGCCTGAAGCTTCTGTTTGAATTGCTTTTATCACCCTGTTTTTGCTGTTTCAGGATAGGATTTAATTCTGTCAGTGGTTTTTTTTTTTTTTAGCCTTAGGTTGTCATTTTACATACCAGATCTGTGGCATATGTTTTGCTATAGCTGCCTGTACATCAGTTTACATGTCTTTTAGAAAGTCTTGGAACGGGGAGGGCTTTAATATGCAAATGCAGATCAGCTCCTATGGTGGGCAAGATCACTAACCAATAGCAATGTTCATAAAGGGGCTGGCTCTGGTTTGTATTTAGGACTACTCTGGTGTTCAGTGATACCAGGATCTCTGCACCGATCCTATTCAATGGAAGCGTGAATCTCTTAGGACTGCTTTGCACCTGTTGCAGTGTGTTAGCACACGTTAACATGTTTCAGACACTAATATGAGTGGTGTTAACAGTGTAGACCCACTTTTGCTATCAAACTTGAGAAGACCCCACTATATGTGCCTATTCCCATTCACACAACATACTATTTATTATATGTCTTACCTTTTGAGAGTGTTTGGAGCAGGTCACTGAGCAGACTAGACTGCAAGCTACTCTGAGCAGTTTCACAATGAGTTTGCCCCACCCGGACTGGACACAGAGTTTCCCTGCATTAACATACGGTTTCTAGATCTTTAAACACTTTGTTAGGACACAATTTTGTTTACTGCTGATAATGAGATCTGCCATTACAGTACAGACAGGATTCATTATGCTAAAGTAAAACAATAGGCAACATTCTCCCCCCATATTGGATAGAGATAAGGAGGGATATAACTCATGTCAGATGTTTTTTTCACCATATGTATCCCATTTTAGAGATTTTCCTTCACTTACTGTCCCAGAGCCAAACAGGAAGTGAGAGGAAATCTCTGCAAGTTAAGGGAATCTCTTGAGGCCCCCCAGGTCACCAGAACTAGTGTCCCCTTTGGAAGATGTACCCTCTATTACTTTATTGGAGGCTTCTTTGGCTTCAGTGATTATTGCAAACAAGACAAATAGAGAGGGTGAATCTCCGTAACGGGGGCACTGACTGACAAGAATACTATTCCCTCTCCAATCTACACAAAACAAACAGAGTTTTAGTTATACTTTTACCACTTGCCTGCTGGCTATAGTAGAATTACTGCTACAGGGTGGCAGGGCTGCGCAAAATCCTAATACACACACACACACACACACACACACACACACACACACACACACTCCAGGTAGGGGGTGCGTGCCGCTATACCCATGCGGCCATTGACAGCTAGGGATATCAATCTCCAGGTGCCAGATGGAGATTTCCTGGCGATCACCATGTAAAGCTGACAGGGGAAAGACCTGTGTGTAAACACCACAGATCTCTCTCCTGCCACAAAGGACATGCTCCTTTGTATGTCTCCGCAGTAAAACAGTACACAGCTCATATAGTAAAATACACAGTTAACCCTTTGATCAGCCAAACATTAACCCCTTCCTGCCCAGTGTCATTCGTTACAGTGTCAGTGCTTTTTATTAGAACTGATTACTGTATTAGTGTCACTGGGGATGTCAGTGGCAGTTAGTCTGTTCCCAACCAGTGTCAGAATGCCCGCCGCAGTGCCGTTATAAGTTACTGATCACCACCAATACTGGTATGAAAAAAAAATATAAATAAAAAAATTCCAACACACACACCATTTGTAGACACTATATCTTTCACGTAAACCAGTTAATTTACTGGGATTTTTTTTTTTTTCAGCGAAGACATGTAGCAGAATACATTTTGGCCTACAGTTAAGATGAAATTTGATTTTTAAATTTTTTTTGGGGATAGGTTTTATAGCAAAATGTCAAAAACATAGTTGTTTTTTTTTCAAAATTGTCGGTCTTGGATTATAGCGCAAAAAATAAAACACACAGGTGATCAAATACCACCGAAGGAAAGCTCTATTTGTGGGGGAAAAAAAAAAAAAAAAAGGATATAAAAATTTAATGTACAGAGTTACATGACTGCACAATTTTCAGTTAAAATAATGCAGCCAGTACCACAAAAATGGCCTGGTCAGGAAGGGGGGTAAATTCTCTGGAGGGCAAGTGGTTAAACATGAACTTCCCAGCCCCCATATAAACATTACTGAAAAAGAAATCTAAGCAGGATTTTTCAGTCCTGGAGCACTCAGAAAAGAGCATGTGAAATAGTAAGCAGCCATTTTAGCAAAATGAGGGCCAAGTAGGACTCTCATAGATCTGGGTGGGCGTGATATGATGTCCTCCAGGATCGCGTCATGCTGTGGTGAGATCTGTCACCAGCTGTGTAACTCACACAGCTGATTACAGATCTGTGTACCAGCCCATTGCCAGTACCATATGACTGCTGTGACCAATCACAGCAGGTCACATGACAATTGTAAACAATGGATGGCTTCTTTTCATACCATTCATTGTATACAATTGTGTCACTAGCTGTGGTTCGTGACCACATGCACAGCCTGGGTCAATCACAGCCAATCTGTGTCATGTGATTAGCTGTGGCCAATCACAGTTATTCACAACAAAAAACCTATAAGCAGGACAGCAAGGAAGAAGCCTAGTGTTCCTATACTTTAAATCATTTAAACGCTATTCAGTGGTGCAAAAACCAAAACTACCAATATTTTATAGCAGACTGGTGTTCACCTATAATGCCTGTCACCGATACAGGGCAAGAACCATTATGTGGGCTAAAACAATAGTCTTATTCCTGAAAAACCATGGGATATATGGTCATCTGATCATATTCAAAGGGAATGTAAAGGCAGATTTTTTTTATTTTTCAAAAAACAAAAACATGTCATACTTACCTGCTCTGTGCAGTGGTTTTACACAGAGCAGTCTTCATCCTGCTCTTCAGGTCCCCCACCAGCGCTCCTGGCTCCTACTCCTCTTGGTGTGCCACCATAGGAGGCCATTATCTTTTGTGGAACACCTGCATTCTTGCTCCAGAGTCGGCACTGTGGGGGTTATTTACTAAAACTGGAGCTGAAAAAATCTGGTGCAGCTCTGCATAGAAACCAATCAGCTTCCAGGTTTTATTGCCAATTTCAAAATGAATAAACTGAAGTTAGAAGTGGATTGGCTACCATGCATAGTTGCACCAGATTCTGAGTGCACCAGTTTTAGTAAATCGACCCCGCTGTGTTTAGACGACACAAATAGCGTGGCGCGGCCCCGGTTTCTCCCCACTGGCTGTGACTTACAGCAGCAGGAGCCATTGCCTTTAAATTTTTGGAATGCATGAAAGAAAAAAAATCTTATACCTTTGCAACCACTGTTAGATATGGGTTTCATTACCAAAATGAAAAAACCCTGGAGGACACATACCCAAAGCAGCTCTCTCTGCATTCTGATACAAACAAATGCAGAGCCATACTGAGCTTGGAAGCCACCTCTCACTCCTCCGTGAGCTCCCGAACCTCTCCCCCCCCCCCCCCCACACTTCCATTTGGAATAAGCAGTGTTAGATACGGTCATATGCACTGCTCTATACAGACTACAAATCCCATAGTCCAGGGCTTGAAAAAGCCACTCACCCACTCGCCAAATGCGAGGAGAAATTCCTCTGTGGTGAGCACAGATAAAGCAAGGAGTGACTGCACCTGCGCTCCAAGCCTCATTGTGAAGCCGAGTTCCGGTTTACAACTTCCGGTTTCTTCAGCTCCGCTGAGAGGAGACACCCTCTCCACCGCTGCGGGGACTTGGAGGGACTAGGAGTAAGTACTGTGTACAACATGTCATATCACTATAATGGAGTACAGGGGAGGGGGGATATACATTACTGTATACATGTCATATCACTATAATGAAATATAGGGGAGCTGGGATATACATTACTGTATACATGTCATATCACTGTAATGGAGTACAGGGGAGGAGGATATACATACTGTATACATGTCATATCACTATAATGGAGTACAGGGGAGCTGGGATATACATTACTGTATACACGTCATATCACTATAATGGAGTACAGGGGAGCTGGGATATACATTACTGTATACATGTCATATCACTATAATGGAGCACAGGGGAGGGGGGATATACATTACTGTGTACAGGTCATATCACTATAATGGAGTACAGGGGAGGGGGGGATATACATCACTGTGTACATGTCATATCACTATAATGGAGCACAGGGAGGGGGGATATACATTACTATATACATGTCATATCACTATAATGGAGTACAGGGGAGCCGGGATATACATTACTGTATACATGTCATATCACTATAATGGAGCACAGGGGAGGGGGGATATACATTACTGTATACATGTCA